CTCGAGGCGCTGAGGAAGCAGAGGCTAGCGGAGCTGCAGGCCAAGCACGGGGTGAGCGAGCGGCCGGGGCGCCGCCCTCGTCCCGGGAAGGTCTCCCGGCGTTTGTCCGCGGACCGCGGCCTCCCGCGCCCCTGTAGCCCCTTGTGTGTGCGGGGCACGGGTGTCCCGGAGGCCGCCTCAGCCCTTTCGGGCCGCGCGGGGTCCCACGTGGGCCTTGTGCGAGTCGGGGTGTGCGCGCCCTCGGGTCGCCCCCAGATCTCGGCCTTGGCCACCGCCGAGCTTGGTGCCAACCCCGCCGGAATTCTGGTCGTCAGGGATCCGGTCTCGCTGACCGGAAGTCAGCGCTGTGTAGAGAGGGGCCTTGGAGCGCGGAGGACCCCGTCCCGACGGCGTCCCGGCGGGGCTCCGCCCCTGCGGTGCCGTCTAGGGCGCTGGTGATGGTGGGTGGCCCGGTGGCAGCACCCCTTGACACAGCGGCCCCCGTGCCAAGCCAGGGTCTCTTCAGACGGTCGTCTCACTGGGAAAAAGAGGGCTCCACGACCCAGGGCCCCTCCAGGGCTGTGTGCTCCCAAACATTCTATTAGATTGTGACTTTGGAAGCTCGTCCTCACTTTGTAAACGTGGGGCTGGGGGTGGGAGTTAGCCTGAGCCACGGTGCTCGCCTAGTGTGCTCGGCACCCTCCCTCTCTTCCCCAGGTCCCACCCTCAGCCCTTCCATGGTTAATAAAGCAAAGCACTGCAGATGGAAACCAACTCATGGGTTTCTGTGAGGCCTAGTTTCCATCTCAGGAGCCTGTTATAGCAGAAAGAAAATCGAATAAGCCCTTTATTTTTGTTTATTTGCTTTATTTTGAAATAGGGGCTCTGTCTGTGGCCCAGGCTGGCCTGCCTGTAACTTGAGGTCCTCCTGCCTCCAGTGCTAACTAGAGTTACAGATGTGTGTCACCTCCCCCTCTCCCCCACCCCTGCAATATACCTTTCATTTTTCTCTGCTCTTTTGAAGTTCCACTTGATTAAAAGGTAAAACTACCTTTTTCCCCCCCCAGGATCCTGGTGATGCAGCCCAACAGGAAGCAAAGCAAAGGTATGAGCTAGAGTTGGAACTTTCTGGAAGGGTGGTTTCACAGATTGAATTTGTCTCTTTTATTTAGTAGTTGTAATTGGTATGTGACTCTTAACAAATTTCCTAACATAGTGATTTTCTAATAAATCCGAATCAGGGTAATTCCCTTTTTAGGTTGATTCACTATATACTCATGGAGTTCCTTTAGTGCCTTGTTTTGAAGTTCCGCCTGATTACTCTCCACTAAGCTTAATAGAATTGCTTCGTAGGGATTTCTAGACCCAGGACCACACAGTAAACGTTCAGTAAATATTACTTTACACTGCTGTTTTGTTGTAGAATATTATTTTAAGGTGTGTTACTTTTGTTTATGTTACATTTGTTTAACTCTGTGAAGCTGTATTACTGTCCCTGTCTAAAACAACTGATGGTCTAATAAAGAGCTGAACGGCGAAGAGTGAGGCAGGAGAAGGGATAGGTGGGGCTGGCAGGCAGAGGATAAATAGAAGGAGAAATCTCAGAGAGAAAAATGAAGGAGGAGGACCCAGGGGCCAGCCATCCAAGTACATAGCAAGCCATGGAGTAAGAGTAAGATTTACAGAAGTAAGAGAATGGGAAAAGCCCAGAGGCAAAAGGTAGATGGGATAATTTAAGGAAAGCTTGTAAGAAACAAGCCAAGCTAAGGCTGGGCATTTATAATTAAGAATAAACCTCCATGTGTAATTTATTTGGGAGCTGGGTAGTGGGCCCCCCAAAAGAGCAAAACCAAACAACAACACCGTCTTACCCCTGCACATGGCAGAGCACTTTCACAGAAGCACAGACATACATTTGATGTGTGAATACACCCCGCTTTTGCCTCGGCCATTTCTTGGGTATATATAAATCCAGATAGCAATCTGCAGGGTTAAACCTCTAAGTCCACATTCTTCGAGGAGCTTGTTTCATTTTCCTTCTCCGCTCAGGATCCCTCATCTAGGGTCTCTTTTTCATTCTTTGAATACATAAAGCACATGCGTCTAGTCTCAACTGCTTGGGAGGGTGAGACAGGATCTCATGCTCAAGGCCTGCTTAGGCAACTTAGCAAGATGCTGTCTCAAACTGAAAAAGATTAAAGAAGAGAGGCTGGGGCTGTAACGCAGTGGTAGAGCGTTTTCTAGCATCTGCAGAGCCCTGGGCTCAAGTACTAGTATGGTGAAAACAGACCAGCACATCTCATAACCCATGGTATCTTAGATCAGGAACTCTGAGAAAATGGCCTAATGAACCTTAAGCCCTGTTCCCAAAGCCCTTGATAGTGGGCACACCTAGCCCCAGCTGTCCCTTTAATTCTGCTAGTCCATGTCTGCTACTGTCTGCTTTGTGTAATCATTTCCTTGGATGGTTGCCTTAGAGGAATATTTTAAGTCTTCTACTTAAAAGTCTTAAAGCAGCATGAGGTGGCACAGTCCTGTGATCCTAGCATTTGGGAGGCTGAGGAAGGAAGGTGAAGAGATCAAGACCAGCTTTGGCTACATAGTGAATTCTGGCTAGGCGGTGGGGGTGCACGTTTTTAATCCCAACACTTGGGAGACAGAGCCAGGCAGATCTCTGTGAGTTGGAGGCCAGCCTGGTCTACAGAGTAAGTTCCAAGAAAGGCGCAAAGCTACACAGAGAAACCCTGTCTCGGAAAACAAACAAACAAACAAACAAAAAAATCTTCTTTCTATTCCTGCATAGTGAATTCTGGGCCAGCCTGAGCTCTGTAGCTAAACTCTTGTCTCCAAAAAGTTTGAAAGCAGTGTCCATGGTTGCTACTTGAGTGTTCAGGGAGAAGCAAGAATTGCAGAGTTAGAATTTCCATAGGCTCTGGTTCTACCGGGGCCAGTTTTCTCTTTCAGCGTTTCCATAGGTTTCTGTATCCTCCCTAAAGAAAGTACACTTGGTCTCTCTTAATTGCTGAGACTTTACTACAGGTTTGTAGCATGTGTCCCACTCGGTACTTAATGTTGGTAATGGTTGTTGAACTGAAATACTGCTTCATGAAATAGTGTTCTGCCGTTCTGGTAGGTTTACACCCACAGAGCTAGCTGAAGGCCAAAGCACCTAGCATCGTATAGTCTGTGAACCCCAGGTGTCTTACAGTGGCCTGCTGGATGGCTCCACAGAGAGGGGCACTTGCCACCACGCCTGATGATATGAGTTCAGTTCTCAGGACCCACATGGGGAGAAGTGAGAACTGACTCCAGAATTGTTCTCCAGCCTCCACATGGGCGCCGTGGCATGTGCCCCCCTCAAATAAGTACATAAATACATGTAAATATTCTTTTAAAGGGACATTGAATAAATGACTTTGTACTCAGCATGCTGACAGCTTAGTTCTAATCTTGTATGACCTATGTTTTGTTGTAGGGAAGCAGAGATGAGAAACAGTATCTTAGCCCAAGTCCTGGATCAGTCAGCCCGGGCCAGATGTAAGCATCTTCGATTTCCTTTGTTCTCATAAAATTGGCTTGAGGTAACTGGATGGTCAGAAACATATATGTAGTTATTGTCTCATCAGAGAAATGTTTAAAGGACTTGAAAGACAGTGTAAGAAGTATGAAGTTTATAAAGTTAGAGATTGTTATTACTGTTGAAGCGCATTTTTTTAGGACTGCCCCTTGAGGACATTTTTAGTAGAGTTTGTAAGGGTTGACTCTTGAACAGTCACAGAGTTGCGGTGGGGAGGGGTGGCTAGGGGTTGATTGTATTCTGCGTTTTAGTGCTGTGTCTGGAGTCTTCAGAGTAAATCAGAAAACCAGAGGAAAGGAGAGAGTGAGCCAATCAGAGCAAACCATCATCTTTTCTGTTGGAAACTTGAGTCCAGCCTCCACTTTGAGAGGCCGTCATTTCATAGGCCACTGTATATTATCAGAAGCAGGAAAGCAGGGAGTTTAGAACCTGAGAACTCAAGTTTAATCCTGGCTCTCCCACCACAGAGTGACTGACTTGAGATTGAGAGGCGTAACCACACTGTCTGCCCTAACTACCTTTTGCCTGTTGACAGACAAAAGCTTTTGAAATACTTTGGAAGTGTCAGTGGATAGTTCTAAGTGTAAGTAGTGCATTTAGTCCTCATGCTTTCTTGTCTGTATTTTTTCTTTTTAGTAAGTAACTTAGCACTTGTAAAGCCTGAAAAAACTAAAGCAGTAGAGAACTACCTTATACAGATGGCACGGTATGGACAGCTGAGCGGGAAGGTAAGCCCAGACGGCCTGGAGGAGTGCGGTGGTACCGGCAGGCTGAACCCTGGCTTGGGGGCCGGCAGGTGGCTCCCCAGTTTCAGTGCTTGCTCTCTTGCAGAAGACTGGAGCTTGGTTCTCAGCACCCACGTCAGGCGGCTCACTACTGCCTTTCACTCCAGCTCCAGCAGATCCAGGGCTGACTTCCACACATGCGCTGCATAGACACATTGAAGCAAAATACTCATGCACATGAATTTTTAAAACTTAAAAATTCGGCTGCATCAAGTAATTTCCATATTTGAATATAGAATTCTTGTTGACTCAACATTTTAAAGGAGAGAATAATCACCCCCACTGTAAATCTTGAGTGATGATTGCCTGTCCTAAAATGCTCAACTTTCTCCTTTCTTGGCGTTGTGTCAAGTGTGACCCAGTGATTATTAGAGTCACCTGGCTTGAATTGTCCCTGCACTAGAAAGAGGGTTTGTCAGTATCATTAAAGTACCACCAGTGTTTGCAGAAGCTAGGCTTGTTTTGCACTTGTGAGGGGAGGTTGAAGTCTGGTTCATGTCTGTGTGTCTGTGTCTGGCTGTATCGCCGTAAGAATTCTATTTGGGAAGTCCAGTCTTCAAGCTTCAGCGGCACACAAGCCCTGCCTGCACTGAACCTGGAAAGAGCCAGCTGGTCTTTTCTGAGGGTGTTGTCTCTGGGGTGGCGTCGGCAGAGGTGGCACATGTGACCTTTCACACAGTGGTGGTCATCGCCTTCCTAGCAGTGACAAAGATGGCCTTAAACCTGCTTGCTTTCCTCAGGAGCTGTCCCTCTACTTCCCTCCTGAGCTATTCCTGCACCTCAGAGAGACTTGACTGTGACTGGTCTGCTTAGAGGTGATGTTTGCTTTGAAACACTGTTTCTCTTGTCTATAGGTATCAGAACAAGGTTTAATAGAAATACTTGAGAAAGTCAGCCAACAGACAGAAAAGAAGACAACAGTTAAAGTAAGTGTGCTGAGCAGTCAGTGCCTTGGAGTTTCCAGACACTGGTCCTGTTATGTGGTTGGGGCAAGAGACTGGCTTTGTGGAGAGTGTAAACCTTAGAGGAGTCTTACCTCTCAAATTACCCCTCTTCACTCACTAAGACACACAAAAAAGCCTCATTTGGTAATTAAAAATGTCTTTCTCAGAAAATCTGAGGCTTTATAAAGTGTGACATTCCTTTAATTTTCCTCTAGTTCAACAGAAGAAAAGTAATGGAGTCCGATGAAGATGACGATTACTAAGAGGAAATGCTTAGACTTACGGAGCAGTGTCTAGGGCAGTTACAACCTTTTAAATGTTTACTTTGTTTATTGTCTATATATGCATTTTGAAAAAATAAACTTGTTACTCAAACTAAAGCAGTTTGGGTGTTTCAGAATCACAGGAAACTCTTAAGAAGATCTGCATTTTGAATAATTTTCCTTTCCTTCCAAAAGCTTTTAAGTGGTGGTAGTGCAAGTTTCTCCTTTGCAGCTGGGACATAACGGGAGGTGGAGATAGAAGCTGTGCCAGCACGCTTCAGCAGCCAGAGACATCAAGGGAACGAAACCCCTGGGCAACCCAATCAGCTGAGCACATCCAGCATTCTTAAGGCAGAACTTGTCAAAGCAGGACATTTCCTTCTCCTGCAGGTAGCATATCAAATTCCCGGCTTTTGATTTAATTTACGTTTCAGAGGCACTGAGTTTACGAGTTTACATTCTCCAACAGATACCACTTTGATCCAGAACAACTAGAGTAATACTTTTGCAGATAACTAGGACATCCCGTGGTCACTGTTGAGTAGTGACATGTTTACAAGAGTAGGCTGGAGGTGGCTGAGTGCCGACGAGCACAGGGCACAAGTTCTTTTCCCAGCACCCATGCTGGGCAGATCATAACAGCCTGTACCTCCAGCTCCAGGGGATCAGACACACTCTGGCCTCAGAAACCTACGCGTGAACCCCCTTTTATAAACGCTCACGCACGCACGCGCGCACACACACAAAATGAATCCTAAAAAAAAAAAAAGCAAACGGGCTGGAGAGATGGCTGAGAGGTTAAGAGTAGTGGCTGCTCTTCCAGAGTCCTGAGTTCAATTCCCAGCAACCACATGGAGGCTCACAACCATCTATAATGAGATCTGGTGCCCTCTCTGGCCTGCAGGCATACATGCTGTATACATAATAAATAAATAAATCTTAAAAAGTTATTTTAAAAAATGCAAATGAATGGTCAATTTGTGTTCAGTATTGCACTGTCATAGTTGAAATCAGCTGAAGGGTTTTGTGGGTGGTTGTGATTCAGAGGGTTTTGTTGAATATATTTTGGGTTTGTTGTTACTGTTATGTCTAAAACTGGTCTCAACTCTCCATTTAGCTGAGGATGACCTCAGACTCATGATCTTCCTGCTTCCACATCTCTAGTACTGAGATTACATATGTGTACCCCACACCTGGTCTGTGTGGTGCTAGGAATTGAACACAACTTCATGAATGCCAAGTAAACAATGCTAACTGAGACACATCCTTAAATTACCAGTTATACTTAAAATTTGCTTTATGGCTCATTTATATGAAATGCTAGAAAGATACCTGACATGTCTCTTCGAGTTTTGTTACAGTCCCCAGTTGTGATGTCTAATGGCTAAGGTGTGTTGAAGGACACTTGGAAACATGAAGGAAAGTTGGCTGTTTACACAAGGATGGGGTCCTGAAGACAGCTAACGTGCTACATGTGGTTAGCTTGCAGGCATGGAGCTGGCTGTACTGGGACTTGCAAACAACACAGATTTGAGCGTTGCCAGTTTTTAATGGCCATGTAAAGTTTTCCTTTTAAGTGGGGAAAGCAACTGCAAAAACATGTGGAAGAATAATTAGTATACTCTGCTCCACTCCTTACTGCAGTGGTTGGGAAGGGGTGAGCCTGTGCCTTGAGGAGCCTGCACTAGGAAGCTGAATACTCCACTCAGATGCCTGTGTCTGCCTCTTTTGAACTGCCCTGATAAACCATGAGGTCACAGAGCCAGAGCAGCACACATTAATAAAGTAGTTTTGTTAAAAATGACAATGGACAGGCTGGAGAGGTGGCTCAGCTGTTAGGAGCACTGGCCATGCTTCAGAGGATCTGGATGGGATTCCCAGCACCCACAGGGGGCCTCACACCACCTATAACTCCAGTTGCAGGGAAATCTGATGCCCTCTTTCCTATGCAGGCATGAGGCGCACAGACAGAAAAGCAGGTCAGTACCCCTTCTCATTAAGTGGGAAAGAGAAGAGTCAACAATAGCATCCATACTCTTTGTCAGCACAGGAGGCTGTGTTTAACTGTTGAGTGTGCCAGGGCAGGCCTGTAATCTCAGCTCCTTGGGAAACCGAGGCAGTAGGAACAAAAGTCCAAGGCCAGACTGGGCAACTTAAGTATCACCAGAAGTGTCTTTGTGGGCACTCTTTGAGAATTGTGTACGCTACTGACCCATCTTCATTGCATCAACCCTGAGCAGGTAGATGGGTGATGGTCTGCTCTGAGTGATCTGGGTGTGTGTCCTAATCACCTTTAAGAACAGAAAACACTGCATCCAAGCCGGCCGGTGGTGGCGCTTGGGAGGCAGAGCCAGGCGGATCTCTGTGAGTTCGAGGCCAGCCTGGGCTACAGAGTGAGTTCCAGGAAAGGCGCAAAG